AAAGTGTGTCGTCTTCCGCGGCATACATCCGAGTCACTGAGTAGTGTCACGATTCATGAAGTGACTTGTTAATGTGGCATGAACTAATGTCCCGGGTACCATTCGGGGGTTGTACAAAGGTTACATCTCCATCATTCAAGTTTGATTTGTAGGGTGGCAGGATTTTATCACTGTTTACATACATGGTAAATACACCTTTCGAATTGACCAATAACCCAGGATGTTGAACGTTGCCTCGAAGATTGGAAGATGGATGGTTTGATCGACGCGTCAGTCCCTGCCCCTCGACATGTTGCTAATGCCGCAGCAAGCGATTTTTACCTTTTTCAAGGATGGGTAATACTCGCGCATGGCTCAGTTTTGTAATCAGACCCGTGGGTTTCTTATCGTGGTCATGAACTGGGTGAAAACCCACAACGGGGAACATCGCTCCCATCGTCAGTGGCCGCTTAATAGTAAAGCGGAACTGAAATTAATGGTTATTCACCGGAGTGGGCACGCTGCTATCCACCCGGTGAAATTAAACTGTGCTTCCTGGTTCCTTTATAACCTCTGCTGTCTAGGATACGGTAATAAATGGCCCAGAATTGCTTATTGCGAAATTTGAGAGCGAAACGAAGCGCAGGTATTACGTTCACCGAATAGTTAGCCCCAATGGGGTATGGCATATGCTTAACTGCTCCCGTGTTCAATCAAGCCGGGTGGTGTTCACGAACTCAATCTGACAAGCGAACGGTCCGGCTACTCTACCTAGTCCAACGACCAAAACCGGCGCACGAAAGTGCATGGTTAATGGTTGTAAAAACTGAAACTGAAACATAACCAGGTAAAGAAGTACATACAGGAAGCATGATCTGGAATTTTGTTGTTCAGTTGAAAGTGTATCATTCTATCCAACAGGTATGCCACCACTTGAACATGTGATAGTGGTCTATATCACGCACACGCCCACAAAATCAGATCTGGATCAGAACCATTAATATTAACCCATTATCCTCCCCTCTGATAGTGATAAACATATTTATTATTGCTGCTGAAAGTGTTGTTTGCAGACATTTTGTAGCCAGAGTAAGCAACATAACCAGTGCGACTTAGGAAAAACGGTTGTATCCAGAGTGGCCGGGCTTATGTGGTTCTGTTGGAAGGTTTGGATTGACTGTTTGCGTTTCTCCAACACCAATATCCGCGTTCCAAGCTGTCATCATTCAACATTATATCAAAACATTTGTTGTGATGTATCAACACAATGAATAACTAGAAACGAACTAGTTCGCCACATTGTGCTGTTCTCAATATGTTATGTGGGACTTTTCAAACATTTGCTATGACTAAAAAGCGTTTCTCTGCATTTCTACCGATAATTTATTGTATACCAATATACCTGCCGGCACACAAACCGCAAACTAGCGAGTTGATAAAGGAAATTCTTTCCCTATATCTACAGGGATTTTCAGCTTGACTCCTAACAAGAAGGAAACAGCTGGCACGTGAACGAAATAAAATTCGATCTTGGACAAAATGGGGGCGGGTTTTTCTGGTCTCATATTGTATCATCAGTGGATAGTAATCCATCTATATGCAGAAACCATTAGACACTGGGGCACCGGTGTCGTTCTTACAAGGGCATGAGAAAACACTTGTAAGTGAAACATACCTCAGATTAAGGATGCGTAGTTCAACCAATTGCTCTACTTCATCCGGAAACGACGACAGTTGATTGTCACGCAGCTAGATAAGTTGGATCAAAAGAAATGAGAGAGAAATATGAAATAAAACTGAGTCTGATGTGAAAAACGATTGGAAACGTCAATGTATGTGTATGCACTGTTTCAATTACAATGGGAGGAACAAAATGATCGATTCAACACTAAGGCAATTAGGCACTGTCAAAATCCCCTCCTTGTGTTGATGCTTTCGAAATCTATTCGATAACCTAGGTTCCGGCAATTGGGTTGAGGCTAATCACCGGACGCTCCAATAAAATGCACGAGAGCGATCGTGAAGGGCGACAATCAGATTTTCAGACTTAGTACGATGGTCATTATAAAATACATTATTGAAAACGAAAATTGTCAAGCTGACGGACAGCCAATAAAAAGCCAGTAATCGCCCAAGAGAAAAAAATAACGAGCGAATAGGATTTGAAATGATAAAAGCCCCCGTTCCGATCACGAACCGCTACGGCTCATGAATTCTTTTCTTTTCTTTTTCATTTTACTTCCTTTTATTGAATATACAAAGATACAATTTTCAGGAAAGGGGAAGCGGCCAATCAGAGGGCTGTCATACAACACACACAAATGGGGAAAGTCAGGCGGTGGTGGTGGGATTCGAACACTCGTCCTCCGGGGTGATAATTGGTGACGTTACAACCGGGCCACCATCGCCCGATGAAATACTCTAAGACAATTATTTGATAGTAACCTGCACTCAGTAAATCGTTTGTGAGCGATTGAGCTTTACTTGATGTGATATATATATGTATGTATATATATATATATATATATATATATATATATATATATATATATATATA